GTCCTTTCGATCCCCCCCCCCCACACACACCCTACCCCACGCTCCCCGAGGATCGGCTTCAAAACACATCCAGAGAGAACAAAGCTAGGACAGGAGAGAGTGAAACTCTCTCAGCTGCCTTCGAGTTTCTGCAGCGGGAGATCGAGGCGGGATTTGCCTCCGCAGTTCGGCGGTAGCAACCTGTGCTCCGCTTCTGTGCTCAGCAGCCGCTGGAATTCTAAATATGCTTTTAAAATGCAGCGATTATTCCGAGAAGGGAGAAAACATAGCACGCTTGCTGTGAATGCCCTCGGAATTCATAGCGTGGTTGGTTCCGTTAGTATGGTAATTGCTGCCTGTTCGGGTGGAATGTTACTGCACTAATTGTTATGTTCCGTGGCCTCTTACGAGAAAAAAAAGAAAACGCCTTTTCTCTATAGTAATTGCAGCAAAACTAGGTAAGAACCGATTGCGTGCAGCTTAGTGCAATAATTTTTCATCGTTATTTAGAAGAATTAAACATGCATATTGCACACGTTGGTGTTTGCGGCTTGGATGTTTTTAGTGAACTGTTAAGATTTCTCTATTTCCCTTCTACAGTTCAGCAGCTCCTTTTTGTGTTTGTTGTTAGTTGTGAAATGTTTATAGAGCGTACAGGTATAGAATGCAAACGTGATTTGGAGCATTATTCATGCTATTAATTTTAGAATTTCTGTGGAAATCACTACAAGATTTGCCTGTATAAAATGCAGGCTTGAGTTTTGAAACTTGCTGGCTGGACAGCTTGCACCAAAGTTGTTCAGCAAATAACGGTAATGTAGGCGCAATGGAGTGAGTTAGAAACCTTACTGTTGCCAAAAACATAAATAGTTTTTAATAAAAATGATCCTTTTATCAGCGTTCATTCCTCTTTTGACAGTAATTTATTTTAGGGTCAGAACAGTAAGGGAAGAAGACTTTCAAACTTCTTAAGTATGAGACTCCCGTTTAGGCTTTCATTGTGAGCTTGTGATTAAATGATATTTTTAGAGATAGCTTCGCTGTGAGAGCCTTATGTTGGTTATTGGAATTGCCTTCTGTTGTCATATACATAATATAGTCTGCTGATTATATGCAGTATGGATTTTGTTCTCCCTTAGCTGATGAGAAAGAGAAATGAATAGCAATAGCTCTTTCACACTACATAATTATACATTCACGTGAGTGTCTCATACAGATTGCTGTGTTGAAATTATACAGAAAAATATATGTGAAGAAGCTAATGTGATTAAGTAACCTCTCTGAGGGGACAGGAGTTTGAGCTGTTCTGTACTCTGCCACCTCTTTGGAATAGCTAAAAGCATGAACGGCTTGCTCACTCAAATTCTGTTCCGTTTGATATGGTTGTATTCAATGAAAATGAGTTTTGTGTGACTGATTTATTCTTGTACTTTTTTGTTGCATGTTACAGTTAATGTTTGCATGCTGCAAAATCAGTGTTAAGAATTTTATAGGGTACTTTTTGAAAAAAAAGTTCTTGGATCCTTCTCGCTTTCAGCCTAGCACATTTTGCATTGAATTAGCTAATATGTCACTTCTCAGTTTACGCTTATGTTATGGAGTTATGCTAAACATTGAATTCAAAATGCTGAGGTGTATTTTGAGCATCCTGAGGTTCAACAGTGTTTCAGAAAAGCCTAGTGTGTTGCTTAACAATGAACTGCTCATACTCTTCCCCACCCCCAAATATTTGTTACGTTCATTCTCTTCAGAGCACTCCAAAAAGATGGTTGGTCGAATTATTTGATTGTAGATGTCCCTTTTTTATTTAGTGGATGTTTTTAACTAAAATAGAGCAAAAACATATATAAGATATTTGTGATATTTTTAGGTCTGAAGACTTGCGCCGTGAGTTTGGTCGTTATGGGCCTATAGTTGATGTATACGTTCCACTTGACTTCTACACTCGTCGTCCCAGAGGATTTGCTTATGTTCAATATCCTTTCTTCAGATGGCTGATTAGTGAGGGGTGTTGAAGTTTGAAATTCAAGTTTGTGTAAGAGGTAACAAATCTAAATGAAAAAGCAGTTTACTTTTGTGTTGTATCTAATAAGTGTCTTTCTTATATCGTGGTGTTTCATTATTTTTGAAGATTAACTCCTCTCAATTGTTCTTTGCCTTTTTGCAAAACTTAAGTCCAGTAATATAAAAGCTTGCTTATGTGACTGAAATTGATACTATATGATTTAAATGAAAAACTATCACTGACTCAAAATTTTCTACCATGTTTTTATTATAGCGGGTATGTAAGTAAATTGTGCTTAGCAGATTGTGGCTATTATTCGTTGTTAATTTAAAAATTAAAAAAAAATGGGAACTGGAATCACTTGATCAAAAGCAGATTGTATAAAAAATGAGGTGAACTTCTTTCTTTAATATTGTCCCCTAATTTACTGTCCTCTGTTGTTGCCTCAGAATGTAAAGCTGTACAGTAATGGCGACCCCAAAGAGAAAGCATGAAAGAACCTTTAGAGTAGAGTTCAACAATTAAGGCAAGTAGACAAGCCAAAGACCTCTTAAGGATCAGGCTTGAAGAGAAGGGAGAGTTTGGGAAAAGAAAAAATAAAGAAAAGCTGGAAGAAGGACAAGCCATAATGGGAGACAAAGCTTCGCTTTATCTACAAAAGGGGGAAAAGGTTGTTTTTCAAAGTAAAAGATAAAGCCATCTGTCATTTTTGGCCAAGCATCTCATGACAAGTCCTTCTGACAAGCACTTAAAGAGTTAAAGGTCAAGATGAAGTTGAATGGTGGCCAAGATTAAAGGAGTCATACCTGATGTATCCTACAGAATAACAGTTTTTCTTCTGTTTGTCATGTAAGCAGTAATTTGATGAATGATTCTGGTTGTCCATTGACAAAACCTGTAATATTTCTCTTGTGAGTGCTATTGTAACTGTGATCTTGAATGAAAATGCATTCGTTCTTGGTTTATCAAGGTAAATATACCTACAACATGGTAGTTTATTTTCTGCATAGATGATGCTGTTGATGGACTGAGTTGCTATGAGGAGAAAGGCAATTCATTCTTTCAGGTGCCATACATGGAAGAAGGTGTTTGAATGACAGTAGTGGTTGATCTCAGGGATTAAAATTGGCAAAGACTGTTACTGAATATCTGACTGATAGAGTAGTACTTTTAGTGTATGGTTTTATCACAGATACCGTTGACCGCCTATATGTGTGTCCTTGGCATCCCATAACTTCCTTTTTTTAAATCAGCTGGTGAAAAAGGAAAGCCTTATCCCAAGTCTAAAATTAATAGAAATAAGTAGTGTTTTTACTGTTGGCATGCCTAAAGTATTTTAAGAACTACAATTTCTTTTTTTGTAATGTGACTATAATGCAGAGAACTGAATCACCATTAATAATTAAATAACTTATTTTGAAAAGGATATACTTATTTTTTACATAAGTACAAGTAGGGGATGAAAAAAAACTCGAGTGTTGCATAGTAATTGGTTGCTTGTGGATAAGTTTATGGTCACAGCATGAGATTTTAATTTTATTATATTTTATTATAGGAGTTCTCAGATAGTTGGTTAATAAAAAAAAAAAAAATGCTTGCATTTCCTATAGCATGCCCAAAACAACCGAAAAAAAGTTGTAAAATCAGAAAATAACTGATTTAAAATACCAAATTTGACTGATTTAAAATACCAAATGTGTTAATTACTCAAATTCCCAAGTACCTTAACACTCACCACATTTGAAGATGTCCGCGATGCAGAAGATGCTCTCCATAATTTGGACCGAAAGTGGATTTGTGGTCGGCAAATAGAAATCCAGTTTGCACAGGGGGATCGGTTTTTTTTTTGTATTTCATCAGATTATGATTTTAGCCTTAATGTTTAGTGCTAGGCAACATTACAGATGTTGTTAATTATTGTGATACCTTCTTTCTTCTACACAGAGAGCAGGTAGATATTTCGCTTTTTATGCAATAACTATTAATGTCTCGTGTTTTAATTAAAAGGGGATAACAGTGCAATGGTCATTTACCACCGTGTGGTAAGCTGAAAATACTTAAGAGCTTTCTGTGCAGCTTTATCAAGCTTTCTTGCAGGGACACAGTGATGAAAACTCTCCCTGTCAAAATATGTAGCTCAGCTTAACGTATTGCAATGTTCATATTATACTGAAGTGTGTTAGTGATTGTGTTCTGTGCCAGTCCACTTTGCAGGATTGAGGTAACATCTTCATTTTCATTTGGCGTCAGCATAAAAATAAATTTCAAAATAATCCACCGTGGAGGAGAATTCTTGGTTTTTGATCAGATAATTTTTAAGAAATTATTTCTCACACATTTAGTTGCATGAGCGATAAGATGCTTTAGGTACAAAGGAAGCATAGGCTTGTTGGTCTAAAACAGGACTAATACAGTTTGTTCAGTATTGTACTTCAGCAAACAACAGGCTACAAATATGCAAAGTTGCAAAAAAAAAAAAAGTTACTCTCAGTTAAATATGCATGTGCAGCTTGAGAGTGCCTCAAAGATCTTTCGGTTAAGGTTGTCAATGGAACAACCTAATTGTTCAGTTTTCCCTTAAAAGCACAAATTTAATTTTTTTGAAGTTAATAGAAATCACATACTCTGCAGGGCAAACTTCTGTCCTGTATGAAAACATTGGGGTTTCTTTTACGTTTCTGAGCAAAAACTAATTAGAGCTACTTCAGTGATGTCAGCAGCAGCACTTAAACATAAAAATTGTAGCCACCAGCTACAATAGATGGCCTTGATAGGGTGCAATCTGTTTGAAATACACTGAAATGCTATCTTTGGATTTGAATGAGGATTGGATTTAATACGAGGGCAAAAATAGTTGTGCTGCTTTGAGAAAACGTAACAGAAGATGTCTAAGTTCATTTCCACTAATTTTTTTAATAATTAAAGTACAAAGTGAATGCATTGCTGTACTGTGGGTTGCGGGGGTGGATTTCACTTTTTGGTTTTGTAGAATCAGACTTTTCTTTGTGTGGAATCAATGTCTTTACTTCTTCTGTATAAACTTTCCATCTTTCCATGTAGACAAAAGGAGTTGTAGTGGAAAAAATAAGTCTTTTAATCATTTAAGTAAGACAGTGGATCAGGTTTAACATGTGGTACTGCATAGTGGGGTAAAATGGGAGTTTAATTGCCAGTTAGCTCTCACTTTTTAGGTGAATTTAGGAATGTCGGGATGTACGAGTCATTAGCCTGGCCTGTCATACCAGCTTACGGTTGCAAGGTGGGCTGAAATCACCTTAGCCAGTTGTGTGTTTTGGTTTTGTGGAGCCTTAGTCCTTTCTTACTGCATTTTTTCTAGATTGATAGTACTGACAGGACTGCATTAATTTTTTTTTTCTTTTTTTGGAACTTAAGATGTTAAATATTGTTATTTTTCTACAGCACCAAATCAAATGAAAGCCAAGGAAGGGAGAAACCTATACAGTTCTTCTCGTTACGATGACTATGACAGATATAGGCGGTCTAGAAGTCGGAGTTACGAAAGGAGGCGGTCTAGAAGTCGTTCTTTTGATTACAGCTATAGAAGATCGTATAGTCCTAGAAAGTAAGTGTAGTGTGTTTGGCTTCAACTACACAGCAGTCTGTTGGAGGAGAAACACCATATTGACTATTTAGTTGTTAACATTTTGAATATTTTTTTTTCTATACTCACTTTGTAATCACTTGTGGGAGTTACATTTCTTGCATGCTTCATCAAAACAAATATTGAATGAAATGATTCTGTGCTTCATTGGAGAATGACTAAAAGCAAATGCACATCTCAAGAAAACTAAACTTTAAATTAATCATCTGTATAAATACCTAGGTATTTGTCACTGTTTACTTTTTCTGATGTACCTTTTTAGCAGTAGACCTACTGGAAGACCTCGTCGTAGCAGAAGCCATTCGGACAATGATAGGTAAAATAATTTTTACACCATTTAAATTGAAAACTAGATCACTGTATTCCTTTAACTATAGGCTTAAAAGTTTCTCCTGCAAAAATGGTAAACAATTTTTAATGTACTAGATGTCTAAGAATAGTGTTTTTACATTCAAATCTCCTCTCTCCCCTTTATTCTGATAGGTTCAAACACCGCAATCGATCTTTTTCAAGATCTAAGTCCAATTCAAGATCACGATCCAAGTCACAGCCCAAGAAAGAAATGAAGGCTAAATCACGGTCTAGGTCTGCATCTCACACCAAATCTAGAGGCACCTCTAAAACAGATTCTAAAACACACTATAAGTCCAGCTCAAGATATGAAAAGGAGTCGAGAAAAAAAGAACCAGCTAGATCCAAATCACAGTCAAGATCACATTCTAGATCTAGGTCAAAATCCAGATCGAGGTCATGGACTAGTCCCAAGTCCAGTGGCCACTAACAGTGTATCCATGTTGTTTTTAGGCATGTAACATTCATTTACACACAGTTCAGTTTACTTAAATTATCAGGAATATGATGTTGCAACAGTGCTAACAAAAAAACTTTTCTTTGTCAGTTTTCCCTGTAGCAGACAATGGTTATAATTAAAACAATGTTGAGAAGCCACTGAGAGAGAGAGAGAGAGAATGTCCACTTGGTTAAATGTCATGGGCAGCTACTGATTTGATTGTGGTGTCTCTATGTATATTTTTGTAAAGACTTGCATTTTTAATGCTTAAATATTGGTGATGACTTGATTGATCGTAATTTGCAACATTGTCCTATTAAAAAATGTCATACCTGCAGAGAAATTGGTTCCAGTTTGTGCTGAACAGTTAAACCAACTGTTTAACTTGTTCTTGAATACTAAACTTTGTGATAAAATGGAAAACTGGACAGCTGTAGTGCAACACTGACTGCTGTGAAATGCAGACTGGCAATTATATGTTTCCATTGTTCAAAGGCAGGTTTCTGTGTTCTCCATGCCCACCGACACAAGTAGGTTGGTAAATGGAGCTCTGTGGAGAGAGAGTGTTGAAATTTCTCTTTAACCCTGCCATCTGGAGAGATGGTACTAACATTGCGTATACTACATGGGGAGAGAGTTAGTCCTGGAAGCGTGTTCAGAGATTGTGCAGTGTCGTGACTTGTCAGGATAGAGGCTTCACTGCTTTTTACCTGGCTGCTAATATGAAATGTGTGAGAGGGGGGAAAAGCCCTTAAAATGGAAAATTAAGTTCAGATTTCAGCAAATGACAGAGCAACTACATATTAGGTTGTGTGTACATTTTATGCAGTTTTTGTATCTATTCTAAATTTTAGTGAGCAGTTAACCATAAAATTGCTTAGTTTTCCTGCTGTTAGATACAAGTAGATTGTTTCGAGTTGTGTGTGTACAGTATATAAGAACTAAACTTTTATGCCAATGACTCCTGTGGTTAGTTGGTGTATTCATAGGTATAAAACTGTAGCCATCTCTCTTCTTGAGTAACAAAGGCTTGCTTTTACACATCAAAAAGTGCTTAGTCAAGCAAGTCTGAATCATTTCTTCCTCAGAATGGATAGTGGTTTGGTACAAGACTTCGTTTTACTTAAGAACAAATGTTTCAAGTTGGATATGAACAAGAGCTGCATCTCTAGCTATTTAGTTTATCACTAATACAGTATATTTAGTAAATTGAATGTGAAAAATGACAAAACCAGTGTGTAATCTTACCAGTATTTCTCTAGAAGGCAAGATATTTTGTTATGAAAATGGCTTTTGGCATCGTTTTTTCTATTTACCTTCAAAAGCCAGCCTCACACACCTAGTGTTCCTTGCTGTCTATATAGTAGCATATAAAGACATTGGTTTAAAGAAATTCCTTTTTAGAGAAATGTTTTAGGTTTTGATTTTAGTGTTTTCAGCAGGGCCTTTGAAGAAATGCGGATGGATTTTAAACATTGGCAGTGGAACGTGCTTAGGGGGTTGATCCTAGAACCTTTGTATATTTGATAGTATTTCTAACTTTTTCTTTACTGTTTGCAGTTAATGTTCATGTTCTGCTATGCAATCATTTATATGCACGTTCCTTTAATTTTGTAGACTTTTCTGGATGTATAGTTTAAAAACAACAAAAAGTCTATTTAAAACTGTAGCAGTAGCGTGCAGCTCTAGCAGAGGAAAGTTGTGGGATTAAACTTTGTATTTCCTTTCTTATAGAGGCTTCTAAAAAGGTATTTTTATATGTTCTTTTTAACAAATATTGTGTACTACCTTTAAAACATCAATGTTTTGATCAAAATAACTAAAGACCCAGCTTATTTTCTGCTTGCTGTAAATTTAGCAAACATGCTATAATAAAAAAAATGAAGGAAATACTGATCCACTGGAATTATTGTAGCTTTAGAATTTGACTCCAGAGCATTGTTAGGAATAGTTATGCATCCCTTATGGAGTAAAATCCTTACTATGGTATTTCAGTAAAGTCAGGAATTTGTTTATTGTTTGATGTCTGAGTAAATATCACGTCACATTTTTAAAAGGAGTACTAGACAAAATAAGGCTGAGCAAAAGTTTTTGTCTTAATATATTAAGAAATGTATTGAAATTTCTTTTCCATTGACCGTCATTATTGCTGGATGGACTTCCCTATGGGTATAACTTAGATATTACTAGCTGGGTTACGAATTGCTATAATCGGCAATTAAAGATTCATATAGAAGCTAATTTCTAGGTGATAGCTCATCATTTTACATTTGCCTTATCAAAAACCGCACCAGCCGTGGTTCTCTAGCAGGTTGTAAACATGTTTTGGTGTGTAGAGTTTGAGCGGCCTCCTGGCACTAGTGGTACATATAACTTCTTCTTTTTATGCCACTGAATGAAAATTCTGAGGGACACTTAAATGCTTCGATAAATCCAATCTTATACTGTTTACGTTGAACTATGATTATCTGGTAGTTGATTTCCATAAAAATGGTTTGTAACAGCAAAAAAAAAAAAAAAGAAAAGCCCTTTTTCAGAATCTTTAAACAATACAGCATTCGAAACTCAAATCCTGCTTAAAAGTGGTCCACCTGACTGTCTCTTGGGATAATGTGGTTACAGAAGCTGGCATGTTTTGGTCAGCAACCTGCAAAGGATTGCTGTGCTTAAGTTCACGTGTCAGTCCAGCCAGAATTGCAGCTGGTTTGGTGGGGAGGAGGGAAGAGGACAATTGTGTCCAGGCTGAGATTCTAACTTTTGACTGCCGAGTAATAGTAACATACCTTAACTATTTTGTCAGCATGTCCTTATATTGTGTGCCTCAAAATTTATGCATAGCACAGTTTACATTTTTCTGTTTTGAAAATCCAATTCGTTGCAAGTATAATGTAGTATCTGACAGTTCTGATGGTTCTTTCTTTCTCTCCCAGAGGTAGGACTAAACTTTGACTTGACTTGTGTATATGAACAAGCCAGAAAAGCCGAACACAAACCCACGATGTTTCAAGAGTGCATGAATAAAGATGTTGTCCTAGTTCTTGCTCCCATGGAAAAATTGTGAAGAAGCTGTTCTGTGGGCCTTTCAGTTGGGGACGAGTTAGCAGGATGTGGCCAAAAGGGCAGGGAATGTTTATGCATTCATGCAAGTCAAGCCACAGCCCATCTAGATAACATCTCCCTTCCTTGATGCAGGTATCCTATTCCTGCTCTAAAAAAGCAGTAGCCTGTCTTGTGCAAGCTACCTGCAGGTTATGCACAGCTGGAATGCAAGAACATATGCAGGCTACAAAAGATCATGTATAGGCACCTTTCTTTTGGAGTCTCAAGAATGGTGGGAATTACGTTTTTTCTGTGGTAAACTAGATTTTGTCATTCCTGCAAATTTCTGTAGAATTGAAGTAGTGTGTTTAAACTCTGCTGAAACTAATGGCTGTGCTCCAAAATATCTGCAGCATATTGATTTATCTCAGCAGTAACAGAAGGCTCTATTGGAACTTCTTTTTCACCAAAAGTCCATGCACCCAACTGATAATTTTAATTAAAAATCTTTAAATTTAGTGTTTAAGTAGCTGGGTGTTTAAATTGGGGACTATGATAGACTGGTCTCTGAAAGCTAAATGTTATCCTTTCTATGTCTTTTAAAGATGTTTAAATGTACACTATAATGGCTTTATTCAAAGTGGAAGTTCTCAATTTAAATGTTATTTTGACCTCTGCTCTTAGAAAGAGCTTTTTCTTTTTCTCTAAATGTTTAGTCTGGGGTAACAGCTTGAAAAATGTTCAGAGAAGGGCAATTGGATTGAAATACATTGCAGCACTGCTACATGATTTTTGGCAGGGATGTTGCAGATAACATTTTGAAGTACAAAGGAATAGATTTACACATTTTTAGGCCATAATCACCCATTAGCAATTGCTGGTTTTCTCCATTTATCTTGTAACTTGCTTAAAAAGTCTGTAGTCCATTGCTATATTTGTCTAAAGATGCTCTTACTGATGAGACTATTATAGGAAGGGAAGACTATGTACCCTGTAGTGTGTTTGATCAAAAGATGCTAATGTTTTATTCATACACATCCTTTCTTCTTGAGTTTTGTGTTCCATCTGTGCAAATAACCCTGTGAATTGGGAATAAAATGTACAAGTTTTGACTATAACTGGAGAGCACCTTCTGACTTAATTAACACAGCTGTAGTCTGTTGGAGATTGGTCACCAAACACTGAACTGCCCAAGGAAGTTTCCTCTAAGCCCAGAGCGCTTGAGCCGACAGCTTGCCACCCTAGGTAGCCAAGAGCATAATCACGATTGACCTCGGCCAAACTGCCGCTACCTCTACTCAAAGAAGCTTCTCTTGCTCCTGAGTCAAGCTTTCCTGGGCAGAGCCTGATGGGTCCTTTAACACAGCTTTTGAGCAGTCATTCTTAAAGTCCTATGTTGTACAAATCACTTGGCAAGACATGAATGAGAGGGGTGCAGTAGAAGAAACCTTCACTGTTAGTGTGTGCTAGGTTTTCCTGGTATTCCTAGCCTACAGCTGAATACAGCTCACTCACCTGGTCCTGGTAGGCTCCTGATCCTTATGCTTACAAGTGTCTTTATCCTGGCTTATTGCCTATGTAATTAATGACATAAATGGGGCTATTAAGTATATTAATCAGTAGTCAAAGTGTCAGTACTCTACAGCAGCCAGAGCCACCAGTGTGATATAATCCCCCTTCTTAAAATTTAAGAAACCAAAGAGGCTCAGATTGATTAGGAATTAAGTGCCTATGCCTACATCCCTTTCGAAAGAATTTGGCTAAAGAGGGCGGTAGATGCCTTTTCTCCTCAAGGTACTTAAGTTACAGGAGTTCAGCGTAGACTTGCATAAATTCAGTTGGAATAGAGCATTCACAAAGAGTATTTACCTCCAAAGTAAAGAGCAAAATAAGCATTTCTGGGGGCAGGGAGGGGGTCAGAATCTGTTTACTGTTAGGAACTGTCAAAAGCCATGTATTTGAGAATTCATTTAGGCCAAGGTTTTGAGATGTTATCTCTTCAAAGCACTTCTGTGAAATAACTGCAAAGGAATTGGTTCAACTATACCAATTACTATACAAGATAATGTAAAGGCTTAAAGTTTTAGAAACTATTTTTAACTAACTGCATTATGTATGCTGGATTGGAACATGTACAGACTCAAGTCTTTTGAAGCAAAATGTATTGACTTGATGGGTAACAGCAGAACTCCGTGCCTCGTGTAGTATTGCCTCTCCCATAACCTTCAGCTGAGTCCAAAAATCCTGCATGCATTCTTGCTGTATTGCAGAATCTAGTTACAGTGCTTGTATTGGTAGCAGCAAGAAACACTCTGCACTACCATTTCAAAATAAATAGATTAATTTAGGGGGAGAAATTTTAGTTTATTCAATTGATGCTGTTTCCAATTTTTACACATACAGTTAGTAATTAACATTTTTGAAATTGAGTTTACACAATTATAGTTGGGATACAGCTCTTACATTGGTGAAAATCCAGGTCAAAGACAAAATTTAGAAGACTGCCAATTCCATCTTATTTGGAACAATGCATTTGTAAACATTCAACCAGCTGCCAACACATTCTGAATGTATAGGAAGAACACACTTTAAAAACACTTTACAATCTACAAAAATCACTTTGAAATTAAACTAGTTTAGCTACTGTATTTTTAAAAATAACCTCAGATTTTGTTGATCACAGTTCAGTTTCTTCTATTGGGATTAAGTGAGTTGTGGCAACATTTGATATCTACACAGTGGATATTACTAGAACTTATTTGTCATTTCACCACTAGACTGCTGGCAACTAGTAAATCCTGGGACAGAATAGTGCTGTAGCAGTGACTGATTTCAGAAACTGAAACATCACAACAGCTCAGCTCTCATCAGGTTCCTAAATGCAGCAGTTTGCGTTTCTTATGAGACATCCGATTGATTTTAAACACTTGTTGCAATCTGATCATTAAGATGCATCTCTCCTATACATTCAGAACATGAGCACCTTAAATCTGAGCTTTTTTTTTTTAAGTTTTTTTAAATTTTATTACAAAATCCTAAATAAGCCTCTTTTGCACTGAGTTTACTTTAAGAAATGAGCCTATAAAGACAAACGTGCATGTTCACTGTACGTTAAGTGCAAGGGCACAGCCACAAGTGTGCTTTTAGGCTTTTTTTCTTTAACAAAATATTTTTTTTTTTTTTAAATCAGACCATGTACTCAGCATGGTCATTTTACATTCAGCAGTTTCATACTAAAAATATTTTTGTGCAGGAAAGCCCAGCATAAATTTACATATGCTACAAAGTTTTACATTTATTTACATGGCTCTTTCTTCCCTATCTGTGAAAACATTTTATAATACCTGCCACAAGCTACAGTAACTTAAAACAATATTACAGGGTAACCAATTTAAGACTAACCCAAGTAACTCTACTCCAATTTTTTCACAATTACAAAATTGATACAAAAATGCATTTTAAAACTCATCAGTGCAATCAAAATACAAAGGTTTAAGTTTTTGGCAGTCATCTGGCAATGTAAAAATATGTCATTAGTTGGCACAGCATGACTTGAGCTTCTAATGAAATTTCTAGAGCTGGAGAAAGCCTGAAATACTGATTTGCCTGATGCATTCTCCTATCCATGCAAGAATATATAAGAACCAATTTCCTACACCTGAGTTTTAGTCACAGGCTTGAATTCTTGTCCAATGATTCAAGAGCGCCTAATAGAACCTCACAGGTATGAAGAGGAAAAAAAAACCACTCTGCATTTTCTACTAGTAGCAGCAGAGGAGACCTCCCCCTAGGTAAAAAAGTCTCCTCTGCAGAACTTTTATACAACTAGCAAATTTGACACAAGTTTGCAAGACAAAGTAACTGACTAAAGCTTTCAGTGTATTTTCCCCAGTTAATGTTGCATTAAGTTAGGCAAAAGGTGGTTTTCCAATACTATTCCTAATACCATACCAGGAAGTAGCCACAATTCCAATTTTGAGACACAGTCCAAATGTGTCACAGTAAATGCAAGAATCAGCAACTTGCTCAGAATTTAAATTCGCTATAGATAAAACATCTTTTTCACAGTGAAAAGGGTGGTGTGTGGAGGGGGGGGGGGGGGGGGAGAGGGAGGTAAACTATCCCCGTCCCCCTTCCAGCTGACCAACTACATGCAACAAAAACAACTAGTTCCATGTACCTGTACACCTGGAGTTATAAATGTCTGTCTCAAATTTGAAACCCTGTAAATTTAAATAACTAAAAATATGGAAAGTTACATCTCAAGCCTGGACTTTAAGTAATGTTTTAAGCTGAAATGTCATTATTTCTTTATCAGAAGGTTTAAAAGAAACAGGTACCCAGTGGCTTGGTGGCTTAGGAAGAACACTTGGTGAGGGTGGCTCACTAAATTTTGCTCCAGCATAGTTCTGATTGGTTTGAGGTGTGAAAAACAAGTTGGGACTTGACAAATTAGGACTCCAATTTTGATTACTGGGGAAGTGAACATTGTTCTTTCCCCCTTTCTGCATGGCCTGCCATGCAGCAGATGAGTTGCATCCATGTCCTCTTTCCTTCTTCATATAGGTCATCTTCATCTGAGAGTTCTGATCTTTGCTCTTCTGTCTGTTTTTAAGTTGTTGATGGTTCTTGGTGGTATTTCTAGCCTGTGGAACTGGAATGTTGAACCTTTCTCCACCACCCATCTTCAACTTAAATGTCACCTATAAAACAGAAAGAGAGCGCAGTTTGGAATTTGACTTTTTGAAACAAAAAGTTTAAGGTAGTTTTTAGATTCTAAATAAGGGAACTGAAATCAATCTATCCAAAAATTAGACAAATGGAGAATGTTTTTTTTCTCCTTTGGCAGAAGAGACTTCAGTAATGCCAACTCAAGAACTTAACTGACACGGTCATGAGAACTGAATTACAGAGCAGTGAACTTTAAAACTTCTTGTCTGTTCAGTGTTAACACACATGGCAACTCAGATGAACTAAGGACTATACAGGCGTCCTACCTAGCCATCATCCCAAGACACAGGCAACCAATATCAACCAACACTAATCCCACGTTTGGGGTGGAAGGGAAGAAAGAGGGAGGATAAAATAAAAAATAAATTTACAAAGCTCACAAGTACAAGGATTTAGAAGTGAGTTTTGGGTCAGAAAAGCCAAAAACTTGACAGTGAGAGCATATCTTCCTAGGGGGAGATACCAACTACATAATGGCTTGGCAACGGCTCATCAGGACACTGTATGCCAATGGGTCCTTCAGTAACCATACACAATTGCCCCTTGTAACAGCTACAACTTTGCCTAGTTATGAAAAAGCGGGTTGTGGGGACAGCTGCCACTTCTTTTCTCCTCAACAAACACTACTAGAAGCACATTAAAGAAGTTGCTCAAAATGCAGTGCCAGATTTAAGCTGTTAGTATCCGGAAGACATTTATGCCCAGCCTATGGTAAACAAAGATCTGGGCAAGGTCTACAACTGATAAAGCCACTCCCCAGCACAATGGAATTGCTCAGCTGAATGGCAGAGGTAGTTTGTAGAGATAAAGCTTCCTTTTAAGCCCAAGAACAACACAGATGATTCCTGATATCCTAAGAAGGAGCTGTATAGCTGCTCACAGCAAGGTAGGGGCAAGATCCACTTCCCAAACAGCTTTTTCCCAGGGGAAAAAGGGGGAGGGACATGCACCAGTGGCACATACAGCCAGAACTGTGCACGCTTCAGGAAGAGAGCTGGCCTCAAAACATGAAGAGAACCAAAAACAACCTCAAATGAAAAGCCATCGTTTATAACTGGGCTTCTAAACTACAGAGCCAGATATTAATACACCCTATTTGGTCCTCTCACACCATCTCTCCCACAGTACACTACTCCCCATTTACCTTTCAGTTGTCTTCTCAGATTCCACACTCTCCAACTCCTGTCCTCTTTCTTGCGTCCAAGCCTGAAAGAATAGGTGCTGCCTTTTGCTGGACTCCTGCCTTTGGCTAGGAATAGAAGTTTTCATGGGCTGATCTGCTGCGTTCAGCCAGGTAGCCGAGCCCAACATCAGATTCTCGGCACAGGGGCTCCAGGGGAGAAGTCTCAACTGTATAAATTAGAGAAGTTTGAATTCAAAAAACTGAACAATTCTCTCCTTTTACATTTGAAGAAAAAAAAAATGAGAAAAAGATGAAAAAAATCACAGAATTTCTAAGCACAAGTCAGTTGTATTTCTCTGTCTAAAAGATGACAACGTATTTAAACAGATGTTTTTATATGGTAAAAACATTTTACTTATCTACATGAGCTTCACCATCATACTTAGCATTTCCATAAAGAATATTTTCATCATTTTGTGTCTTATACTATACTAATAAATATTTTAGTTAAGCAAGAGCCGAGCAGAACCTTACCCTTTGTTTCAGAGAAAAGTCAAATAAAATGGAAAAAAAAAAACCCACACATACTTTGGGATTAAATCCTAGAAAACTAGCACCTCAATATATAACTCTGAGCAGAAAGAAACCCTCCCCCCGAAACTGCCCCTTGAGAACTCACCCACCTAACTCAGTGGGACCAGAAAACAGGAAAGCACTGCCGGGACTACTGTGAACAGCATCTGACCCAGCGTCCAAACACTTCCCATGAAACCAATCGCACCCTCAAAGCCTATTCCAGCCATACAACACAGGACTCCATTTCCAATCCTTCAGCCTTTTTCTCCACCTTTGTTAGCAGAGGAACTCCTGATTAGCTCTTAAAATAGTTTCCTGTTTAACCCATGGCTCATACCCTCCTGAAGTCTTTTTAAGGCGCCCCAGTCTGTTGACCTCCCCCTACAAGGGGCATCACCCAGTGTCACCGGCACTCCTAAGTGCCCCCTCTCCCCAAAAAGCACTAGAAAGACCCGCACGTCTTCGTTTCTAGCCTTCACCTTGTTGCGGCGGAAAACAAGGGCTGACGATCATTAGCACACGCCAGGCCGCCGTTTGCACACTGCCCCATGAGGGCTCCCTGCCCACCGGAGCTGCTCCCCCTTAGGGAGCCTCCGAACTTTCACTCCTCTCCCCTCGAGTGCCCCCTCTCCCCAAAAAGCACTAGAAAGACCCGCACGTCTTCGTTTCTAGCCTTCACCTTGTTGCGGCGGAAAACAAGGGCTGACGATCATTAGCACACGCCAGGCCGCCGTTTGCACACTGCCCCATGAGGGCTCCCTGCCCACCGGAGCTGCTCCCCCTTAGGGAGCCTCCGAACTTTCACTCCTCTCCCCTCGCCCCGCCTGCCCCCGCGGGGCCGGGCACTCCCCGGGCCCGCTTCCTCGCTGCCCCAACAATGGAGCAGCTCGGCGAGCACAACATGGCGGCGGCGGCGCCCGGCCCTTCTCACAGCGCTCCTCCCTTACCGACTTCTGTCCGTCTCGTCCGCTCACAAGCACAGACACACACCCGGGCCTCAAGGAGC